GTCAATCGCAACCTTAAAGCATCATTTGGTGCCAATAAGGGAGGTTGGCTCGCTCACTAAGGGGAGAGAGAGGAGAGAGGAGAAAGGAGATAGGAGAGAGGAGAGAGGAGAAAGGAGAGAGTAGAGAGGAGAGAGGAGAGAGGAGAGAGGAGAGAGGAGATATGAGATATGAGATAGGAGAGAGGAGATAGGAGAGAGGAGAGAGGAGAGAGGAGATAGGAGATAGGAGAGGGGAGATAGGAGAGAGGAGAGAGGAGAGAGAAGAGAGGAGAGAGGAGATTGGAGAGAGAAGAGAGGAGATAGGAGAGAGGAGAGAGGAGAGAGGAGATAGAATGGAGATATGAGAGAGGAGAAGGAGAGAGGAGAAAAGAGAGAGAAGAGAGGAGATATGAGAGAGGAGAGAGGAGAGAACGAGAGAGGAGAAGGAGAGAGGAGATAGAGAGGAGATAGGTGAGAGGAGAGAGGAGACAGGAGAGAGGAGATATGGAGAGAGGCAAGAGGTCGTAGAGGAGAGGTCGGAGAGAAGAAGGAGATAAGAGAGGAGGTATGTGATTCAAGAGAGGACAGAGGAGAACGGAAAGAGAAGATCGGAGAACGGAAAGAGAAGATCGGAGAACGGAAAGAGAAGATCGGAGAGAGGGGGTACAAGATGGGCGATAGGAGATTGAGAAAGGAGATATGGGAGAGAGGAGCGAGGAGAAAGGAGAGAGAAGAAAGGAGATACGAAAGAGGTGAGAGGACAAAGGAGAGAGGAGATGGGAGAGGAGATACGAAGGAGAGAGGAAAAAGGAGATACGAAAGAGGAGAGGGGAGGAACGAGATAGGAGAGAGGAGAAAGGAGAGAGGAGATGGGAGAGGAGATACGAAAGAGGAGAGAGGAGAAAGGAGATACGAAAGAGGGGAGGGGAGGAACGAGATAGGAGAGAGGAGAAAGGAGATAGGAGAGGAGATACAAAGGAGATAAGAGAGAGGAAAAAGGAGATACGAAAGAGGAGAGAGGAGGAAGGAGAGAGGAGATAGGAGAGGGGCTACGCAGGAGAGAGGAGAACGGAGATACGGAAGAGGAGAGAGGAGGAACGAGATAGGAGAGAGGAGAAAGGAGATAGGAGAGAGGAGAGGGGAGATAGGAGAGAGGAGAGGGGAGATGGGAGAGAGGAGGAACAAGATAGGAGAGAGGAGCTAGGAGAGAGGAGGAACGAGATAGGAGAGAGGAGAAAGGAGATAGGAGAGAGGAGAGGGGAGATAGGAGAGAGGAGAGGGGAGATGGGAGAGAGGAGGAACAAGATAGGAGAGAGGAGCTAGGAGAGAGGAGGAACGAGATAGGAGAGAGGAGCTAGGAGATAGGATAAAGGAGATAGGAGAGAGGCCCAAAGTAGGAGCATCCCCGGTGACAGACGTCTGCTTTCTTAAGGGGGTCGGTTATGAATTCAAATGGCGGACAGTCCGGGGTGCCAACAGTGTGTGGTGCCAACCCAGACACACACACATGGATAAACTTGTCAGATCAAAAGTGTGTCTCGAGTCTGTCCATATGTGAAGACAAGAATCCCAGCCTTGTGTTTTTCACTTTGTACTCTAGTTTTATCTTATGTTTACTCCTGCCACCACGTAAAATAGATAAACAAATGCAGCTATGTTCCTTGGAATGCTACTGAGTGCATTTAGAGAGTGGTGTGTCTGGCTTTTTCTTTCTGTTTTTGCGACATAATAGCGACTGCCTTCTAGTGTCTGCTTTCTCATTCCTGGACCTCTTGACAACAAAGCTCAATGCCGTTCATTCAGACACAGCTAATACATCAGACGACGATCATTACCGACATTAAATTGCGCAAAAAACAATTTCATCCATTTATTTTTGAGAGTAGAGTTGTGGAAATACGATGCAGTGCCGCTGTCAGAGAGTCCGATCCTGTGTCTAGTACATATCCGCCAACCACCTCTCAATCATCTCTCCATGTCCAAAGAAAGTTTGCAATTCTAAACTTTCTTAAGTCAACATTTCCATTTATATATATTGGATTTTAAAGATTTCATTGGGGTCATTAAGTATTTGAGAAAGGGGAATCTTGCATAAAGTTACTATGTACACTCTAGGTACTGTACTAGAAACTCTCTCACGGTTACCATTTAGTTTGATTTTAGTTAAAACATGTAGCACAAGTATATTTTTGAGAGAAACATGAATGTCAAGATAGTTTCCCTTGTGTTTGCGGAATGTGTGTGTACAGCTCATCTCTGAAATATACTTTTTGTATTGAATATGAGTTTGGATAAACTTTTCTTGGCTGTTTTTTTCTGAACAATCAAGACACAGTGGTTCACAGCAAGTATTTCTGTGTGTCTTCATGGGTCTGGTCCTCTCGGTTCTGCGCAGTGAACGGCCTCCCATGATGCTTTGCGCCAAATACTAGCGAGGGTTGCGCCAAATACTGATCAGAACCCAGGGGGACATGAAAGGGTTCTGACCAATCAGCAGCTGGTGGTAGGAGCGGAGTTATAGATGCACTAAAGTGTGGATTTATAGAAAACTGATGGATTTAACAAGAAAAGAAGTTCAGGATGACAAGGGAGGCTAAAATCCCCACAAAATTCGACCTTTATGAAAGCTGTAGGTTCTGTCAGCTGAGGTCGCGCTGTTCTAGTTTACATTGAGGTCTATGAGAAAATGTTCTGTGTAGCCCACGTGAATTTAGTGGGTGGGACAGCTATAATACCCTATACAAATATTATAACAGATCCATGGTCTGACCCCACTCCCGCTCTCTCTCCCATGAAAAAAAGATACTGAAATCCCAGTGGGACTTTCCAGAAAAAGAAAAGTCAATAAATACAATAATAATGATAATAACTACATACTGTGTTTTCTCAGTGTATACATAATGAAAATACATTTAAAATGAAATTAAATGATAATAATAAACATAACTATTGTAAACTGATGAACCAATTAAATCTTGTAATCTAAATGATGTGGTTGTTTTCATGAGAAGAAATAGCTTTAAAATGAGGTACTATAATGTTGTACGCCATGGTAGCACTAATCCAGAAGTCCTTTATAAGAAGCCAATCCATGAAATCACGACGTAAATGAAACCAAAAAGTTTAAGCCGCACATTAATATGGTTTTCAATTTCATATTTAAACAAACCAAAACATTATTCTTTTATACGTCCCACAGTGAGGAAATGTCAGTGTTGCAGCACAGGTTTACATAACAGTAGGAATGAGGAGCACAAAGCACAAGATAAATGAAAAATAACTCAATACTAAAATAAAATAAAATCTCTAACTTTAGCATAACAAAGAAGCAAGTCTAACATCTCCAACTTAAGTATAATAGAAAAATTGTCATGGTTTCGGTTTATTTCCAGTTTTCTTTTTTTATTGGTTAACCCCATGTGTTTTCTAGTTGTACTTCCTGTTTCCTGATTACCTGCCCCGCCCACATGTGTATCACCTGTGTCTCGTTAGTCTTGGTTCTGATTGGTTACTTTTTGTGGTGCTTTTGCTGGATTTTGATTTGTTTGTTGATTAGTATTACTTTTTTAAAATAAAAAGTAATACTAATCAAGTATTACTTTTTGCAGTTCTGTGTTTTGGGTCCTCCCTGATTTTCAATATGACAAGAATAGAATAGAATAGATCTTATACAAACAACAAATATAAGATACTGTATATTCTACAGCAGGGGTATCCAACCTGTGGCTCGGGAGCTACCGGTAGCTTGCTAGCCCCTATCAGGTAGCTCGCCAAAGGATTTAGAAGTTTACAAATAATGTTGAATGAATACATTTTTAGCCATTACATATCTATTATAAATATAAATATAGGGTCATGCAGTATCATGGTATGTTTTACATGTGTTTTCCATGTTTTGTCGCAATTTTTTAGATAGATTTTTCAGACGACTGCAAAAAGGAGTAGCTCTCTGCCTCTTATTTTGTATAAAAGTAGCTCTCCGACTGAAAAACGTTGTTCTAGCGCAAGAATTGTATAGTTGTATGTTGTATTATTACGCTTTTTCTGATATATTATCTGTTTTGTTTTATCTTGTAAATGCACCTACGTTGCTTATGAGTGATTATTTCTATGCCCACTAACTTGCTAAAAAAAATTGAAAATTAAAAGTAAAATATGTATACATCTGTACATTTTAGCAGCATGAAGGTCCGGAACACTCTTGTACTTGTGCTGGTGGCCATTTTGAACATGGCCACCGGCTAAACCACGTTCAGATTTTCACAATTCTATTCACATTCCCGACTTGTGGAACGAAACACGCTCCTAATCCGCGAACACGTGCTTAAGACGGCAGATTTCTAAAGACCTTTCCTGCGTCTTTTATTCCCAGGGTCGAGGAGGATCACCGTTATCTCTGTGTAGAATCTGACTACAACTACATACTTTGATGTTCCAGACAAGCGCCCAAATCAAATAATAGCAGGAGCCCCATTTGCGGCGGCTTTGCACCTTTTACATCACACAATTCTTTTATCAAATCTGAACCGTGACTGCTATTTCGCCATCGCCTTTTCTCTGCTCCCCACGGGACTTTACATCTTGGTCACATCAAAGGCAAAAGTGAATATTTGATAGAACTCGCCCGGGCCCGGGGAATGAAGTAATTTCCCTTCAAATGTCTCTTTAAGATTGGATTTATTATCACTCATTTGCATCTAATGTGGCCTTGGATCCTGAAATGTCATCGGTTTTGTTGGCGGGGCAGTTTGGGACTTATGCATTTGGGGACATAGATAGGTGAGAAGTGTATAAATCTGTGGGTGGCGGTGGCAGTGGTGGCGAGGGGGAAGGCGGAGGTGACAAGGCGATCAGGCGTGAGGCGGAGAGGGCTGTCCGCTTCAGAAAGGCCGCCACAGAGAAAGATGGAGCTGAGATACTTGACGCGTTAATGTGGCGCGTTTCTGTAATAGAAAAAGTCATAGGAATGAGGACGAGATCATTCAAAACAAGAGCAGGGACAGGTCTAAACACCAGACCTTTCATAATGAAGAGAACACTCTGTCAACCTGGGGACATATGACATAAGCATACAAGGCGAAAGGATTTCAATGTCTGTATGACTAACAAACAGAGCAGTTTCTGTCTTATTAAAAGCTGCAGTGTGTAGTGTTCCTGTTTGCTGCATGCAGACGCACACTCACACATGTTCCACAAATCTAATTCCTCACATTTTTTTGCACGTGTCCAACATTGTTTTTCTTCTTAGAGAAAATGAGGCAAGACAAACGTGCTTAGAACCACAGCCTGCTTTAGGAAATCTCGCATCACGTCCGTAAGTGCCACATTTGGCCCCGGGGCCGGCACTTTCCTTTGTTGGGTCAGCTGCCTTTTCCAAAGTCATATAAAGACAATAAACATATCAGGTTGTTTTGATTTCCAGAGCTAATTTTACAACAAACAAAAGCTGATGAAAGAAGAGGAGACTGGCACTGCAGGCTACTTCAGAGATGTGTGCTGTGATGTGCTTTGCATGCTGCATATGTTCGGTAAGAGATAGCATCTCCACTTTGTCTTTTTGATGATAAAACTGTGTAATCTCATTGTTGGTGTGCAGTGGAGGATGCGCTCTAATCTGGGCTTCATACACAGGTTACTATAAGACATTGTAGAAACCTTTGTGTCTCTCAGACACACACGTCCAACATTAATTAGGAACTGGTTTCTTGTGTGAAAGTCTTGACAGCGAATCGTCAGCATCATATGAAGGGCCACATCAGACCACGCACCTGCTTCAAAGCCGCCGACTCATTATTTCATTTCAAATGCACGCACAGTGATGGCTGCTAAAAGGCTGCGTTCCCCAGTGCACTGTGTCACATTCATTAAGTGGAACTTGTAAAGTTGGAGTGACACGCAGTTAGTTGGATTGAATTATTCTGGTTTGATGCGAAAGTTCCACACAGCACACAGGTGCGCACTGCGCACTGAGCCACTTCCTCACCACAAATGAGAAGTCATGAAAAAAGAGAAATATCATGTTCAATACGAGGGCACCGTGGATCCCACAGCCCTGGGATGAAGAGGGAGTGCGCCTGTGTCTCAGATAATACTGTGCGTAAAATAAACAATACGTGGAACAGCGTCGTGTAACAAATAAAGTTGAATGAATAACTCGAGTGCTTTGTGTGATGTCACATGTGAGCTGTTGTGCAGGACTCACGCTGCTGTTGTGCCCGGACCAGTGCACCATCGCCTGGTTGTGAGCGGAGTCTCCCGCCAGAGCGAAGGTGGAGGTGTCCAAGAGTGGTTCCCCCGAGCGCCTCTGCTCCGCTCTCGGAGTTAAACCGCCCTGCGCCGGCTCCCCAAAGCTCTCCCTGGACTGCACCTCTGCACTTGTACTCCTCTCCACCGCGTCCAAGCGCAGAGCCTCCACGCTGCGCGCCCTCCGCGGCTCCAGAGGTTGCGAAAGAACTTCCACTGAGCCGTCATCGTACTTTCCACTGTTCATCAGCGCGTCCTCTGGTGCGACTTCAGCAGGGCCACTTTCCTCGCTGCCCCCCATCCACTCCTCAGTGTTTCCAGCCTTCACAAAACCAGCTCCAGACGCGCTGAAAACTTTAGCATCTCCCCACAGAGACACCAGCACGCCCGCGTCCTTTTGCTTCACCTCATGGAGAAACAACCTATTCGCAGACGCTGAAGTTATCTCCGCTTTGACAAACACAAACTTAAGATTGAGCAGAGCCAGAAGAGCCAAAGAAGTCCAACGCCACATCCACAGTCCGGGCATGGTGTGTGGGCTCTCCTCCACCACTGGCACTAGTAGAAAAAAACACACAGAAGACGAGTCTGGGAAAGAGCTGGGGAGTGAAATATTCAGGGTGTCATCTGCCCCATGTTTACGAGCAGAAGGCGCTCCCACTCGCGAGGAGGATGTAGTCAAAGTGATGGGGTTCTGTGGGGAGGTGCCGTGGTGCGCGCATCAGCCAAACGCACGGAGAGGAGAGAGTGACTGCAGGTTGGAGCGCAACGGCACGCGACTCTTTTGGACAATAACAACAGTGCCACGCGTAAAACCCTTCATCCCACAGCTCGTTATTTTTAACAGTCGCAAACTTTATTTCTTTTTTACGCGTAACGTCTATTCTCTATTTTCTCTCGTCTTTTTGAACATGTGTGGTTTAAAGAGACACTACAATGTTTCTTATTTGTCCGTCACCTTTCAGTTCGTGCGCCAGTGAGCATTTTTTCAGAGCTTTTTTGGTTCTAATCAGTTGTTATTTCCATGCGCAAAGAGCAGAGCGGCGCGGAAAACAGAGTGCCATGAGTCCTATGGTGACACCGCGCGACTTTTCTTTTAATTATGGCACGACGCACTCCGCCCGCGGCTCTTTTTCTGCGCAGCCACAGAAAACAAAGAAGTCTGTGAAGTCACTTATCTTAATGACTTCTTGTGCCAACAACTCTTCAGCAACTCAAGGTTTAATCTTTCCCATTTCTGATTGTTCATTTACAACTTTTGAAAAATGGAGCTTTCCCTCAGATCGATACGCCATTTGAAAGGTATTAGTTTCAATTAGTCCCAGCCAAATGAATCCTCTCACAAAAAAAAGAGGCAATTGGCATTTCCTGCTGACAAAGGCTCTCCGTCTGTCTGCAGAAATCCAGCCGGTCTTATAATGTCAGGTTGTGGTATAGAAGGACTTATCGGGAAATCTTTGTGATTTAACTGTTTGACATGGGTGGGCTGGGGTTGAGGAGAGAGGAGCCAGTTACACAAGCTCAGTGACTCAAACCACGTCATGAAAATAGCTTCTGGTGTTATACTTTTGACAATAGACAAAGTAAACACAGCCATTAGACAATGCAGCCGGAAGTGGGGGGCAGCTGGACATAATAAAAATAACACTTTGTGCTTTGCTCTGCCATAATCAATGATACATATGCATTGTCAGTCTATTGATCCAAGTCCACTGCCTTCAGGGATTGCAAGATTGCAATTTGCGTCTACCCTTTTATGGTAAGTTACTTTATGTGATCAAAGTGGAAATATAGCCACAGATCTTTTCCCCTCCAGTCGTGCCAATGCCGCCTGGCCTCCAGGCTTGTCCCATTGGGAGAAGATGCCACATTGCAAAAGGGGATTAACAAAGAAAAATAGTCAAACATTGGCTCAAATATGGAAATATGTATATACAATTTTTTTTTGACTGCCTTTAAACAAGATTTACCGACGAGAAAAACACAATGAACTTGTTTTAAATAGATCCAAGAAATATCTCCCTTGGAATGAGAAAAAAAATCAACAATTCTTGAAATAAAACTAAATGGCTTTGTGTCATTGGTATGAATGTACTCATGATAAGAACCACTTGATCAATAATTAACTGATGTTTTATAATTTTTTGCAGTGCGGTGATGCCTTGTGTCTCTCAACTGTCCTGGGAAGGCCTCTGGATTCCCTGTAGCAGTGTTTTCCAACCTTTTGTGGCCGTGGGGGGTTAGGGTTTTTTGGCACACCTTTTTTGTTAAAAACTCTCACATGGCACAACACCAGCTGACTCTGAAACAAACATGAAACTTCGCAGCTTTTTGTACGAAAGCAAAGTAATTCCAACCAAAGTACAGTAGATATATCAAAATTAAACAAGCTCAAAAAATCTTTCCAATCTTCTCACAGTATTTTCTTTTAACATTATTTTGACCAATTATGTGAAATCATAATATTTCTGAATATTTGTGGATGTGCCAAAATGAATCTTTAAATATTTACAGATCGATATAGAGACCACTCAGGGAAAAAAAGGGAAATGTCAAAGCAACAACATGTGGTATTTAAAGTAGAACATGCATCAATCATACAATACAGTTTGACACAGTTTTGTTCCCCCTTTTCAATATAATTGTCGCATTTTAAAATGCAAAAAGCCAAAATACAGGACTGCTAAAAACGCAAATTCATCCATCCATCCATCCATTTTCTTCCGCTTCATCCGTTGCCGGGTTGCGGGGGCAGCAGTCTAAGCAGAGACGCCCAGACTTCCCTATCCACACACACACACACACACACTAACTATAGTGTTAAAATTGATCCCCAGATGCTGTAATAAATAAATAAATAAAGTAATAAAAGATAAAGTTCATGAGGAGAGTTTATTATTATTATTATTGTTATTATTAGAATCATTAGTATTTGTTTTATTCTCTTAGATAATTAGCATAATGTAGCTTTGGTTCACACTCTGATACAGTAGGTGGCGGTAATGCACCCTCACGTTGAGTGCCATTCGCCAAGAATAAGAAGAAGAAGGAGAAAAATTCAGAAAATGCTAAAAAAAAAAAAACAGTCATTCTTTTTCCTTTGTTGAAATGTTTGAAGAAGTTTTCCATCTCCTGTCGAGGTATATTTATCCCCAGCTCATTGTCAGTGGTATTAGTAATCATTATGAAGCTCCTCTCTTTCCGTAAGTAGTGTTTGATGTAGGTGTTTTTTGGCTTCTGTCCTGCTTTTCGGCTCAGTATATTTCTGTCATCGTGCCAAACCAATCCCCCCTGAGTGAGCGGGCATATCAACAAGAGTGTAAACATCTGCTGATCCTGGACACAAATAAATCAAATGGACGTTATGGAATTTAAAACGGTGTTGTGAGGTCAGTCCACTTCAACTAAGATAAATAAATACATTGAATAAAGTGTTTTTCCCACCAATTTTCAACAACACACGCTTTCGGTCGATACCGTATGTGTGGTTTGTTTGGAAGGTCACGATTGATTCTCAAACTAAAATACTGTATATTCCCAGGTATGTTACGTAATTTTAAGTCTTACATCAACCATATTATATAAAAACGTATTGTTGTTTTTCCTTGTAGCAGATCCTGTTCGTCACAAAAAACAACTTCAAATCACATTATTATTTTGGTAAAACGTTTTCGACATTTTGCTGTGACTCGCTTTTCTCGCAATCCCATGTTGATTAATGGAATGAATATATTACATCAGCACATAAGGTACATACGGCATATATTAGCGACGCTGGCTGATCAGGCAATTTCCTGCATTTAGGTACTTTTAGCAACTCATTACTCACTAAACAAGGTCTGAAAGAGGACTGTGAGCGGCCGGTTCTGGAAGTTCTTACACCCAACTCTTGGAATAATTGATGACTCTTCTGGCTGCAACCTGGAAAATCCATGTTCCAGCTTCTTCCCTCAGGCAGAAAATATTGTCCATTGAGACGCAGGACATCTCGTTTCGCTAAGCCCACATCTTAAACGGAGCACTTGAATGATCTTGTTCTTGTGTTGAGGATGTTTTAGACGATTGATCCATCCATCCATCCATCCATTTTCTTCCGCTTTATCCGTTGCCGGGTCGCGGGGGCAGCAGTCTAAGCAGAGACACCCAGACTTCCCTATCCACACACACTTCCTCCAGCTCGTCCGGGGGGACCCCAAGGCGTTCCCAGGCCAGCTGAGAGACATAGTCCCTCCAGCGTGTCCTAGGTCTTCCGCGGGGCCTCCTCCCGGTGGGACGTGCCCGGAACACCTCCCCAGGGAGGCGTCCAGGAGGTATCCGGAACAGATGCCCGAGCCACCTCAACTGGTTCCTCTCAACGTGGAGAAGCAGCGGCTCTACTCCGAGCTCCTCCCGTGTGACTGAGCTCCTCACCCTATCTCTAAGGGAGCGCCCAGCCACTCTGCGGAGGAAGCTCATTTCGACCGCTTGTATCCGCGATCTCGTTCTTTCGGTCATTACCCAAAGCTCATGACCATAGGTGAGGGAGGGAACGAAGATTGACCGGTAAATCGAGAGCTTTGCCTTTCGGCTCAGCTCCCTCTTCACCACAACGGTCCGATACAGCGACCGCATAACTGCGCACGCTGCACCGATCCGCCTGTCAATCTCACGCTCCATTCTTCCCTCACTCGTGAACAAGACCCCGAGATACTTGAACTCCTCCACTTGAGGAAGGACCTCTCCACCCACCTGCAGAGGGCAAGGCACCTTTTTCCGGTCGAGCACCATGGCCTCGGATTTGGAGGTGCTGATTCTCATCCCAGCCGCTTCACACTCGGCTGCAAACCGCCCCAGTGCATGCTGCAGGTCCTGGTTCGTTGGAGCCAACAGGACAACATCGTCCGCAAACAGCAGAGATGAAATCCTGTGGTCTCCGAACCGGACACCCTCCGACCCCTGGCTGCGCCTAGATATTCTGTCCATAAATACAGTGAACAGAACCGGTGACAAAGGGCAGCCCTGTCGGAGGCCAACATTCACCGGGAACAGGTCTGACTTACTGCCGGCAATGCGAACACAGCTCTGGCTCCGGTCATACAGGGACCGGATGGCCCTCAGCAGAGGACCTCCGACCCCGTACTCCCGGAGAACCCCCCAAAGGACACCCCGGGGAACACAGTCGAACGCCTTCTCCAAATCCACAAAGCACATGTGGACAGGTTGGGCGAACTCCCATGAACCCTCAAGTATCCGATGGAGAGTATAGAGCTGGTCCAGTGTTCCGCGACCGGGACGAAAACCACACTGCTCCTCCTGGATCCGAGATTCGACCATCGGCCGTAACCTCCTCTCCAGTACCTTGGAGTAGACCTTACCGGGGAGGCTGAGGAGTGTGATCCCACGATAATTGGAACACACCCTCCGGTCCCCCTTCTTGTAGAGAGGGACCACCACCCCGGTCTGCCACTCCATTGGCACTGCCCCCGATCGCCACGCGATGTTGCAGAGACGTGTCAGCCAAGACAGTCCTACAACATCCAGAGACTTTAG